CAAGTTGAGGCCTCTAGGAGTTACCATATTTTAAATGTTGGGTTCAAGTACCAGTGCTCTATGCCTATACCCAATCCTCTCCCAATGCAGTCTTCAGTTGTCATAATATTTCTCACTTTTGTAGTTGTGGGCAATGATATCCTATTTATAAGGCAATCTGTGGACTCTGTGTGTTCCTTTGTGGTTCTACAAGTCCTCATTAAAATGTGATTTAATAGCCAACCACACTGTCTACTTTATGACTGTCTAGGTTTCCTTTCTTGTTACTTTCACTTTGGGAGGGTTTTGTGAGCAGGGATTTTTTTTTTCATTTATAGACCCTTATTTTCAGTTACCTGGGGTCTGCACACAAACTTGCACTGAAATAATTAAGTTGGCATTAATTCACACCTCTTATTTCAACACGAGTCTGTATGGATACTTTTATTCCAAAAGAAGTATGTCCACACACAGACTTGCTCAGAAATAACTAAACCTGTGAATTAAAACTTATTTAGGCCTGGTCCCCACACACAATTGTTCTGTTTTAACTAAAGGTGTGATTTTAAAAAAACAACAGACTTTGATAAATTGGTGAAACTTTGTGTGTGGACCCTCTTAAATTAATTTAGACCTGACTTAATATGGTGTAGCTTGCACCTGTAAATCCTGTTAAAACATTGTTCAGCCTTGCTGGTTTTAAGAGGAAAATGTAACTTTTGATTTTAGTAACCTCACCAAATTATACAGTAAGTAATGCTCAGTCCTGTCCTCCATGATATAGAGCACTATGAAGTAAGGGGTAAAAAGCATGCTGAAGTGGTATTTGCTTCTGATTTTCGGTGTAAGGTCAAACATTACTCAGTATTTTGAAATTTTTGGCTATTTAGAATGTGTAAAAGGGAGTAATGTGTGTAATTGACAATGAGACAAAACCAGTAAACACGTTTAAAAAAACTATATAAAACATATTTTATATCCTCTTTTGAGAATTTGCTGTGTGCTTAGACTAAATACCAGAGGTGAGGTCATCTGAGCCATTGGATAGTTTTAAATCATATGCATTGCTTGCATGAGTAATCAGTAAAAAGTCTTTCAGCAAACAAGGATTATGGAATTTCTTATTAACTAACTCCAGGATGCCTGCTTGCTTGTAGATAGATTGTACTTGGGCAAACCTAGTACACTGTGTGGATTTTTTTAGTAGGTGGCAAACTGACAGCCTTAAGACTAATTTTTTGCATGTACACCTCTACCCCGATATAACACTGTCCTCTGGAGCCAAAAAATCTTACTGCGTTATATCGAATTTGCTTTGATCTGCCCGGAGTGCGCAGCTCAGCCGCGCCCCCCCCCCCCCCCCCCGACGCACTGCTTTACCGCGTTATATCCGAATTTGTGTTATATGGGGTCGCGTTATATCGGGGTAGAGGTGTAGTTGATTCTCTGCAGAGTAGGTCTACAAATCCTTTACAGGGAGTCTTTCCTAGTTTGCAGTTTGGTGAGGTATAATACTGCTGATTTTTTTTTTACTCTAAATGAGAAGTAATTGGTGACGTTATCTTGAAAGCCATAGCTAAACCAATGCCTGGTGGAGAGGGGCAGATTTAACTTCTTGTGTCATGGATTGTTCATTGTTCTGATGTCACAAGAATTCCCATTTATGGATTGGCATCAGTTCCATTAACTATAAAATAGATTAATCAGCCAGGTTTTCTAAATATACCAGACATATCCAAAATGGGTTATCTGCGTGTTCCCTCAGAGGTCCGTGCCTGTGAGTGGAGTAAAATCAAAGAGATAACATTGAGAATTACTTGTTAGGTGGTAGTTAACAAGAATATATTAAGGAATGCTGGTGATATAACACAAGCAAAGCTGTAATCATAAATCCATAGCTAATGCTCAGTATCTCAGTAGCTGATGTGTAATATGCAATTTACAAGGATGTAAACATTAATTGACTGCAATCCTGAAAATGTGTCCTTGACAGTGCAACTGCAACAGTGTAGTGTACTCTAGTACAAGTATGGATTCCAATGAGAACTGCAAACGAAACAGCGTGATTAGCGTTGATGCAATGCACCATTGATGCTTACGCCATAACTGTACCAGTGGTTTACTTATGGCTGTCATTTTCAGGATTGTGTCATACATGGCCTTTCGGTGAAATCATTCCATGGATTTGTTATATTAGGAAACACAAATTTCATCTAGGAATTCATAACTGGGGCTGCTTGAAGTTTTCACAGGAAATGTTTGTGGCAGAACTTTCTGCAGATAAAGTTCACACTTGGGGGTGTAATATTTTCTAAACTACTGCCTTTCCACACTCTGACTGCACTAGGTCATTTCTGTGTGCATTTTAATCAAATGACAAGATCCCCTTAAATATATCTCAGCTATAAAACCTTAATTTGGTTTGATTTTTGTCTTGACTTCTGGCTATTTTTAAAAAATGTGTAAAGGATCTTTATTAAGATTTAATACCAAATGATAAACATTTTAAAAAGTCACAATTAAATGTTCGGGATATGGCGGGACATTAAACTGTTTTCAGTGCTGTCTGTTAAGCAGCAGCAAGTGTTCCTGTTCAGAATTCCCAATTTACAACTTTAAGTATAGGATAACACAGGTTTCAATAATGTTTTCTTCCTGTGCTGGAGCTCTTGATATCTTCAGATTTGGTACACTCCATTAATACACAGACTATGCATCCCAGAGAGATCATAACCTGAATAATCATGAAATCTATGGGCACTTCTAGGGTATAGATTCCACAGGGAGACTGCCTGGCATGGAATGCATCTTAAAGTCTTAACATCGGGTGAGAGTTACAACAAAAGGGAGCCAATACCTGCAACACTTGGAAACCTAGCAGATGCTTTTAAAAATAATTTTGTGGTCATTTACATTAATTTGCATAAATGTACATATATCTGTAAATACATATTGCCCATTTATCCTAATTACCCACTCCACACATTTATTACACACCCTCTTTCACTTTATCCCAACTCATTACACATGCATTCCACAGACAAAATTCTTTCTGCACCTACTTCCTTTCAGTTGTGCATCCTCTAATTCTGCACCCACCCATCCACTCACTCTTCATAGATATAGCCACTCATTCCACTCTCAGATCCACCCATTCCATGTGCACCATGTCTATTCCAGACACCATTCGTTCCTCACTCATCATGCATACACATCCTTTCTACCTGCTCATTCCACATACACATTGCTCATCCTAAGAACCCCCACTCCTGAAAGCTCATCTCCAACTGACCGTCCCCCCCCCCCCCCATCCCTAGCTTCCTGCCCTCAGCTACTCCTAAATTAACCCTTTGACTTTTCCACCAGGCTCCTGTAGCAGGGCTGCCAGTAAGGAGTTTTCCCTAGAGTCCAGTAGGAGGGATGAACCCCCCCCCCCCCCGAAGTTTATGGCAGAAAATTAATTGAAGACAGGCTGGTACTTTCAGATTTTATATCTTAATTCCCCTTAGGCTAAAGGCAATAAAATTGCTGCTGACATATTTCAATCTGAAAGTCTGGCTATCAAGGTCAAGTAAATGTACTGCTGTCTGGTCCATAAACTGGCCCACAGAGGGAAGGTTGTTCAAATAATTTTAGGCCAAAACTGATCTATAATCTGTAACAGCAATACAGGCAGAGTTTGAGTAGGTGGGTTAATGACATTTAAATTGGAACCCTTTCGGATGGGGCATGCCAAGCTGAACAGACATGTCATTGTGTTAGAGCAGTAGTTCTCAAATTGTGGGTCAGGACCCCAAAGTGGGTCGCGACCCTGTTTTAATGGGGTCGCCAGGGCTGGCTTAGACTTGCTGGGGCCCATGGCTGAAGCCTGAGCCCCAGGGCTGAAGCCGAAGCCCGAGAGTTCAGCCCTGGGTGGCAGGGTTCAGGTTACAGGCCTTTTGTCTGGGGCTGAAGCCCTTGGGCTCCGCCTTGCCCCCCCCAGGGCAGCGGGGCTTGGGCAGGCTCAGGCTTCAGTCCCCCCTCCTGGGTCGTGTAATAATTTTTGGTCTCAGAAGGGGGTTGTGGTGCAGTGAAGTTTGAGAACCCCTGTGTTAGAGGCATTGGAGGTAGTGATCTACTGTCTTTAGTGTCCTGGCTGCAGTATTTGTTGTTCCTCTTCCATCCTTCTCTGATCCTGGGGAAAGTTATTCATTAAAGTGAAAAAAGAGGAAACAAATTCTAGCAGCTTAATTATTGTTTCTCTGGTCAGAGATTTTAGACTGTCAGACTGAATTCTACTCCTGAAAGCTGCTCATGCAAGTCTCTTCATGACAAATACTAATGAACCTAAAATTCATTCATTAGTTGAAAAAATGTTGAAAGGACCAGTTCATTCTGAGAGCAATTCCAAGATGAATTTCTGCTAAGCAAAGCCATATCTGTGAACTTCCATTTTTCATACAAGATTAGTTTGATTAATCCTCAGAATTCAAATAGGCTAACTTTGCAAAACAGACTTTATTTTCATATTTTCTCTTTAAAGACAGAGCAACTTTTATATTACTTTGTAACACAGAGGGTGGGATTCATTTTGGGGAACAGGAAGCTTGCTCACTTTGTGGTTTTGACTACGGAGAGGTACTTCCTTGGTAGTTGCAGCTTTTTTCCCCTACACAAGATCCTTCTCTAAGCTCATACGTGCTTTCTAATGAATTCAGGCTGTTTAACTGAGGTTTCCTTTGTTAAGCTTTCTTTAATCTTGGCTGTTTGTGTTGCATATTAAAGTAATTTCTAATAAATTTAAGAGCCCCCTTCCTCAAATCCTGAAATATTGTCTGAGCAAAATGTACTGATATATGACAAATAAGAAAGGAGTCTTAGCAACTGTTCACTCTTATAGCACATGCAACTTGCTCGTTCATTAGGATTTTGGGTGTTCAGTGCCAACCAGTAGTTGGATGAACAATGAACAATGGAAGCTATGTACCAGCTTACTCTGTTTCACTGATGAAAATATAGATTCACCCTGTGCTTTGTTACAGGCTTTCGGAAATGCAAAAACAGCCCATAACAACAACTCCAGTCGTTTTGGAAAATTCATTCAAGTTAACTATTTGGAGAATGGTATTGTCCGAGGGTAAGTATGGCATGAAGTTCTTTCTGGAGCTAAACTATATGTTCTTGTGCAGACTTGATGGAGTATGAAATATCTTTTCATTTGAGCATTCCTCATATGTGAATGATCTGTTTCTGTGGATGGTGATTTCAGAGATACATAACTTCATTTCGTTTGGATTTTTCATAGCCCACGTAAAAACAATACCTAGTGCTTTTCCTCAGTAGGTCAGAGGTCAGTATTCGTCTCATCCCCAGTTTGCTGAGGTGCACACAGGGGAAGTGGCTTGCCCAAGCTTACCCAGCATGCTACTGGTAGAGCTGGAAATAGGCCCAGATGTCCTGAGTCCAGTCCAGTGCTCTGTATGATAGGCCACATTGGCCAAGATAATTAATCTATTTGAATATATCCCTACACAGCCATGTTTTTAATAACACAGTTTAAATTAGTAATACAATTAACAATGTAATTAATACAAGTTAAGATATTGTCTAAACAACAAAATAAAAGAAGCAGAGGCAAAAAGGCATCCTTTAAAAAAAATGGAAGTTAAATCCTATTGAGGAAAATAGGAGCATAAACTCTGGCAAGTGAAGTGTAAAAATATAATTAGGAAGGCCAAAAAAGAAATTGAAGAACAGCTAGCCAAAG